GGTTCCGCTGCCTGCCCCGCAAGCGCAAGGACCCTAGTTCGATCCCTGGTACCAAAAAAAAAAAAAAAAAAAATTTGTAGGTGTATTTACCATCTCCATTTGTTTGTACAGACCGGTCATAAGACAAATACTAGATCACTCAAGAGACTACCTTGACTGAATAGGAACAACCAGAGATCTCAGACACACACTGCAATCTGCACACTTTATTTGAACTCAGCTTTCACCCAGCTAACCAGCCAGCCCTCTCCCTTGGAGCTAGAAACAAACAAAAAGAGATCACTGGAATTTTAATTTGGTTGCCTTTTCTATAATGTGTTCTCTCCTGTATAAATAGTCCCAAGATACATTATTGAAAGAAGGTCAAAAGAACTATCACCCACCTGTATGTGATGCAAAATTACACTGAAGATAACAAGGCATTCCATGTTATTCCCCTTGCCAGAATTTAGATATTACAAGCCATTGTCAATATCTTGGTAGTAATCAGTTCATAATTGGGCTTCACAGAGCACAAAGTGATTTTTGTAAGCAGCACTATGAGATAAGAGTAGTGTCTCCATTTCATAGCTGAGGAAACCAAGATAGAAGAATTTTGTATCTGGCCCAAAGTTTTCTCCTTATTAAATGGCAGACCTAGGATGCCAGCCAAAATTTCTTCCAGAATACTATAGCTCTCATTGTTTAATTTTGCAATCAAGGACTATGATTTGTTTCTCTTGAACAATTTATTTAATACAATCTCTCACTTGAACTCCTCGAACCTAAGTTTAGAGACACATTGGTCCACTTCATACCTATATCTTACTTCAATATAATCACAAAAATACTTTAAATCTGGGTATAGCATTGAAGATTATCAAATCTTTATCATTCATGTTTTTCAAAAAAAAATGAGATTCAGGAAAAACTAGGTACTGTTTATTGCTTCCCCAAATCTACTTTTTTGAAAGAATTACAGCTAAAACCATTCAAACCTAAGTCCCCTGGTGTTCAGACTACTGCTCTTCCTGGAATGTGATCTCTTGTGTGTTTCCTTAATATGTAAATTAACTGAGTTATTCTGATTTATTCTATTGATTTGAGGTCTGCAACAGCAAGCCATAGCCTTTCTGAATCCTGACCTCAAATATAGATGTTTTGTAATTTACAATGGGTTATATTCTGATAAACAAATCACAAATTGAAAATATTGCAAGTCAAAAATGCATTTACTACATCTAATCTCTAAACATCCTGCTCAGCCAAACAGAACACTGTAAAGTATGTACCCTGTTGTGATCGCTTGGCTGGTGGAGAGCTGTGACTTGCTGCTGCTACTGCCTGGCAGGGAAAGAGAGACTTGCACTGCACACATTGCCTTGCCCAGGAGGTCAAAGTTCAAAACCTGAAGCACTGTTTCTACTGAATGCTTATCAAGAGTAGGCACAACACCTGGTGGGCCTATTTGGACTTTGAACACATTAGGTGTGTTACTCTGGCCCATTAACTGAGTGACTCATAAAGTGGCTAGTTGTGAGTGGGACCCAGAATGAGAGAAGTCCTTGCAACAGATCCAGACAGCTATGCAAGCTGCTTTGCCACTTGAGCCTTATGATCCACTCTGTTCAGTATTGTTAGATGCGTCAAATATTTGTTAAGTAAATGTTTGATTGTGTATGAGATGACATTAGAATTTCATGCAGCTACAAGAAACAGAAAACCTTTCTAAGCTGGATTAAACAAGAAATTAGTTCGATTTTCTCAGATAACTAGAAGTCAGAAGGTGAGAAGTTTGAAGCTGGGAAAGATGTTCTAGAACTTCACCTAAAACAGCTCCTCTGTCTTCTGTGGCTCCGTGAAAACCTTTTGTTTTCTTTTTCGTTTTTTTAATTGTTAACACTGAAATTTTTATTGTCACTAATTACAAACCACTGAAGTGTATTTTATTAGGTAAGTTCTTACAGTTACTGTTTCTTGGATAATTTGAGCAGTATGCATTTTCCTGGCCTTTTTTTTTTCCTGGCATGGGCTTTTTCCTGGCATTATTCCCTATACAAAATAGTATAATTATTTACATAGCGTTTACACTGTATGAGGTTTTGCATACTTTTTTTTCCGGTACCGAGATACTCAGGACCTTGCGCTTGCAAGGACCTTGCGTTGCGACTGAGCTAAATCCCCGCATTGTATGAGGTTTTGCTAAATAATCTAGAGATGATTTAAAGTACGCAAGAAGATGTGTGTACATGATATATAAACACTATCCCATTTTAAATAAGGGACTTAAGCATGTGCAGATTTTGGAATTGGGGATCTGAACTAATGGCATAAGTATGGAGAGAAGACTATACTTAGGGCTAGGATGGGTCTATAAATTTGAATTGTACACTGGCTGTCCAGGTCATTTGAATACAGGTGAATGCCAGATGATATTCTGAGAAACACCGAATTTGGAGTAGTTCAGCAGAAGTGCCTTTATTTTATTCTAAACAGATGTCTATGTCACCCTTCCGGAGGCTTTCACTTTCCTTATTAACTTTCCTCTTGGGTCAATACAGATCAGTGTACTATCTTAGGAGTCACCAGTTAGAAGGCTTTGACTGAGTAGCTGCTTGTTGAAATGGTTTTGTTCTGGTTCTTTTTTGTTAACGTTGAAATTTTTTTGAACGCTGAAATTTTTATCATCACTGATTACAAACCTTTCCCCATCCCCCATTCCCTCCTTCTCATTTGAACATTTTCTTCCCATTTCCCAATATCTATTATACATTTTGGCCCTTATTTACACTTTCATTTTCTCACATCAGAGAAACAATGCAGTGTTTAAACATGTATGTCTGATTTATTTCACTTAAAAGTATGGTCCCTAGGTGCATCCATTTAGCTAGAAATGTCTCAAGCTTACCCTTCCTTATGGCAAAATAGTACTCCATTGTATTAAAAAAAAATCTTCTTGGGGCAGGGGATTTAGCTCAGTGGTTCCACCACCTGCTTCGCAAGCTCAGGGACCCAAGTTCAATCCCCGGTACCAAAAAAAAA